TCTATGGATTTCACATGACTGGGCAGGGGCACAGCCTGGGAGGGCCTGGGAGGGCATAGGCCCACCCACTGGGGAGCAAGGCCCAGGCAATCAGAATGAGTTTTAAAAAGGCTTTATTACAGACAGAAATACCCCAAAGCTGACATCAGCAAACCACTCGCCCACACGACACCATACACGCTGTCTGCCATCTGCCTGGTACAGTTAAAAATGGGATTCATCTGTGAAGAGCACACTTCTCCAGCGTGCCCAGTGGCCATCGAAGGTGAGCATTTGCCCACTGAAGTCGATTACGACGCCAAACTGCAGTCAGGTCAAGACCCTGGTGAGGACGACGAGCACGCAGATGAGCTTCCCTGGGATGGTTTGTGTAAAACCCCCAGTTTCATCAGCTGTCCGGGGGGCTGGTCTCAGACCATCCCACAGGTGAAGAAGCCAGATGTGGAGGTCCTGGGCTGGCGTGGTTATACGTGGTCTGGGGAGGTCCTGGGCTGGCGTGGTTATACGTGGTCTGGGGAGGTCCTGGGCTGGCGTGGTTATACGTGGTCTGGGGAGGTCCTGGGCTGGCGTGGTTATACGTGGTCTGGGGAGGTCCTGGGCTGGCGTGGTTATACGTGGTCTGGGGAGGTCCTGGGCTGGCGTGGTTATACGTGGTCTGGGGAGGTCCTGGGCTGGCGTGGTTATACGTGGTCTGGGGAGGTCCTGGGCTGGCGTGGTTATACGTGGTCTGGGGAGGTCCTGGGCTGGCGTGGTTATACGTGGTCTGGGGAGGTCCTGGGCTGGCGTGGTTATACGTGGTCTGGGGAGGTCCTGGGCTGGCGTGGTTATACGTGGTCTGGGGAGGTCCTGGGCTGGCGTGGTTATACGTGGTCTGGGGAGGTCCTGGGCTGGCGTGGTTATACGTGGTCTGGGGAGGTCCTGGGCTGCGTGGTTATAGTGGTCTGGGGAGGTCTGGGCTGGCGTGGTTATACGTGGTCTGGGGAGGTCCTGGGCTGGCGTGGTTATACGTGGTCTGGGGAGGTCCTGGGCTGGCGTGGTTATACGTGGTCTGGGGAGGTCCTGGGCTGGCGTGGTTATACGTGGTCTGGGGAGGTCCTGGGCTGGCGTGGTTACACGTGGTCTGGGGTCTGGCTGGGGGTTATACTTCTGGGGCCTGGCTGGCGTGGTTTAACGTGGTCTGGGGAGGTCCTGGGCTGGCGTGGTTATACGTGGTCTGGGGAGGTCCTGGGCTGGCGTGGTTATACGTGGTCTGGGGAGGTCCTGGGCTGGCGTGGTTTATACGTGGTCTGGGGAGGTCCTGGGCTGGCGTGGTTATACGTGGTCTGGGGAGGTCCTGGGCTGGCGTGGTTATACGTGGTCTGGGGAGGTCCTGGGCTGGCGTGGTTATACGTGGTCTGGGGAGGTCCTGGGCTGGCGTGGTTATACGTGGTCTGGGGAGGTCCTGGGCTGACGTGGTTATACGTGGTCTGGGGAGGTCCTGGGCTGGCGTGGTTATACGTGGTCTGGGGAGGTCCTGGGCTGACGTGGTTATACGTGGTCTGGGGAGGTCCTGGGCTGGCGTGGTTATACGTGGTCTGGGGAGGTCCATGGGCTGGCGTGGTTTATACGTGGTCTGGGGAGGTCCTGGGCTGGCGTGGTTATACGTGGTCTGGGGAGGTCCTGGGCTGGCGTGGTTATACGTGGTCTGGGGAGGTCCTGGGCTGGCGTGGTTATACGTGGTCTGGGGAGGTCCTGGGCTGGCGTGGTTATACGTGGGTCTGGGGGAGGTCCTGGGCTGGCGTGGTTATACGTGGTCTGGGGAGGTCCTGGGCTGGCGTGGTTATACGTGGTCTGCGGTTTTGAGGCCGGTTGGACGTACTGCCAAATTCTCTAAAACGATGTTGGAGGTGGCTTATGGTAGAGAAATGAACATTCAATAACCTGGCAACGGCTCTGGTGGACATTCCTGCAGTCAGAATGCCAATTGCACGCTCCATCAAAAACTTGAGACATCTGTGGCATTGTGTTGTATGACAAAACTGTAGATTTTAGAGTGGCCTTTTATTGTCCCTAACACAAGGTGCACCTGTGTAATGATCATGCTGTTTAATCAGCTTCTTGATATGCCACACCTGTCAGGTGGATGGATTATCTTGACAAAGGATAGAATGTTCACTAACAGGGATGTAAGCAAATTTGTGCACAGAATTTGAGAAGAATAAGCTTTTCATGCATATGGAACATTTCTGGGATCTTTTATTTCAGCTCATGAAACACGGGACCAACACTTTACATTTTATGCGTTTATATTTTTGTTCAGTGTACATATTAAATTACCCTTTGAGGTTTTCATTCAGTTTGACTTACTGTATCTTCAGATCGTCTTTGTGGCAGCCACATTTATTTTTAGACAAGCACAAGAGACCAATTATAAGCCATTATCAAACATCTGCTAACAGAGGTCACATATGACAACACAGAAAAACATTTGATAAACAATGTTAACCTCACCAACAATGGCCTCCAGTCTTCTTATGTCAAGGGCCTACTTGGCAACAGGTCAAAAGAGGTAAGTAGAATAGGTAAGTATATCAATATGAACATACTGTATATTTGCACACAAACACAGACTTATTAGCTAGCATGACAGAGGCTACATAGCTACATTTCAATGGGGATAGCAAACAGCTAGGCTAAACACAAATCTCTATAACAACAAAACAGCTAACCGTTTAGGTAGGCAATCTTTTTGATGTGGTAAAAAGTTATATAAAGGTCTTAACGACATGAAAGTATTCATAAAACATAATGGAAAGTTCAATTTACAGATGGTTCCAGCAATGAAAGACACCATGACAAAGGATGGAAGATGATTACATTCAGGTTTGTCAAAAATAGTAGTTAGCTAACAACCAACTACTTCCTGTTTTGTCTTCTGCGGTTGCGAAAAGTGTAGTCTGGCTGTACATCAAGGAGTGCAAATCTCTACCTGATTACTGGAAACTACTGTTTTCCTACCGAACACTGCAAAACTCTACTTGTGTATCTTGAGTAGTGCACGAACTACACATTCACTACAAGTCTATAGTCACTACTGCACCAATTACGTTTTGTGTAGTAATTCAGTAGTACTTTTTCATGAGGGAAGATGTCTTTGTTTTTAAAAGTATTTTTTTTATTTAGAAAATGTGGAGAAGGTTGTGTAGATCTGTTGGAAAGAAATCCAATTTAATCCCTTTTTAGATGTAATTTTAAGGCAGCAAAAATGTGAAGAATGTGCAAGGGGTGTGTAGACTTTCACTAGACACCGTAAGAGTTCTCTCTGGGCAGCTGAGCAATGAAATAGCAGACAGAAAAAATCTACTTGACTGGGGCCTTTGAGAGAAAAGTGTTGCAGTGTATAATTCGTTTAATCAGTTTGGAAAAAGATTAATACAGTTTAGTAGATTAAAAACACTCAAACTAAAAAGACAGGGTGCAAAAATATTTATTGCTAATAAACCTGGTGTCAGTTGGTGTACATTTGCTGTATATTTACAACAGTAGAATACATAGGGATGGGCATGTGAGACAAAACACACTTAAATAAATACAAAGGGACTGCCACTGAACAAGACTACAGACATAACTGACTGCAACACGACATCCTCCCATACAGATGTGCCAATACGATTACAGAGAGAAGAATGGAAATATATTTATATTATAATCAGCTAATCCCATCCGTTCTGTATCATTTTTAAAATGGTCCTGTTTCAGAAAACATTCTATGATGTTAATAGATCATCATATACAAGCCAACACCTCGGGCAATGAAGGAGCAACATCCAACGTAGCAGATAGTTTACTTGTACAATGATGCAGGCAAACATTTTCTTTCCATAGCTTGTTAAGCGGGTGAAGGGAAGCGACCGCATGTGGACACTGACCTCACCTAGCATAAACACGCAGGCCTGAAGGCAAGATTGTTCCTACGGTTTTGCTCATGTAAGTAATTATTCCATCAGCATTATTGTAGTTGTATTTAGCCTTTACAACATTACATTTATTCCTTCGGCTATTAACACAAGACTAAGGAGTTTAAACAGTAGCTTACACTGTCATCTTTTTTAGTGTATGCATGATAGATGCTTCATTAAAAACCGTACAGAGTATTTACAGTAAGCCATGGCGATGAAAACAAATTGTCATAGTAACTGAAGTGCACGGAATGAGCCTAGACATAAAATTCAATCTTCATACCATGTTTTAAAAAAAAAAAAAAATTATATACGACGTGTGTGTGTGTGTGGTGACCAGTGTGTTTCTAAATAAGTAATTACAGAAAAAATATAGTGGCCTTTCTAAACATGCAGCAGGGTGGCTGGAGCGGTGCGACACAGGCCACGCTGTCAGAACTCCTTAGTGTCTTTGTCAAACAGGTGGAGGCGCTGCTCGGCAGTGAGCCCTTCCTTAAGACTCTGGGGGGGAGGGGAGGACAGGAGAGGAGAGAGAGAGAGACCGAGAGACAGAGAGAGAGACAGAGAGACAGAGAGAGAGACAGAGAGACAGAGAGAGAGACAGAGAGACAGAGAGAGAGAGAGAGAGAGAGAGAGAGAGAGAGAATGTTAATGACGGTGGCCAGGTTTAACTGTGACTTTCTGGTGAACAGGACTGAATCCTTGACGAGGAAGCAGATTGATGCAAACAGAGACGTGCACAAATTTCTGTCACTGGTAAAACTGATATTTCTCTGTAGTCCCACTGGTGCCAACGAAAAGGTGATCCCATTCAAACCCATTATCAATATGTGATTTTGGCTGTTAATGTGTGTGATCCAGAGGGCTTTTCTCTCATTCCGTACCCCTCATTCGTACCATAAACGTGGGGTAATAATACTGTAAAACTCTTCTATCCACACCCAGAGTGACGTTGGAGACAATTTAGAATGAGCAAAAGGGGGTATAGTGATTATTTCTGGGTGACACACTGCTGAAGGGTGAACATATAAACATAATGGTGGTACACCAATGGATGCACTCCTATTGGTGGTAGTCTGGTTTGGTAAGTGACCAATAAGGAGAAAGGTAGTCCTTTAGGGCAGAGGGCATATCACAAGACACAGACTGAGGAGAGAAGGTGGGGGGGGACGACGACGACGACGACGACGACACACTTCTCTCCACATATTATACAATCATTTTAACCCACAATCAAATAGCACACAGGGATTTGTTTCAAGGTTTTAAGAGTAAAATATATGTTTTAACTGCCAATGGAGCCACACAATACAGTACATTCACCTGCTGGGGGAATTAAAAAGTTGCAGTGTAACGCAGTAGTTAACCTGAAGGTGGCATTGTGTCACAGCTCATTGGCACTTGGTTCCAACTGAACTGTTCTCACACACAACCTTCAGCTGTGGGAGACTTCTCTACTGGGTAAAGCACATGAAAGATGTCTTATTCAGGTGTTAAGAAGGCGTACCTTTGACCTCATGGTGCGCTCGGCGCGTTTGGCTGCAGCAGCCGCCATCTTGAGAATGTCAGGGTTGCTTTTGGACTTCATGATATCTGAGGAGAGATAAGACAACTACTTTAAAAAGACAAGTCCTTTGGAAAAGAGGGCTACTGCGGCTTCTGTCCAGTTTACTATAGACACTACTGTAATAAACGGACTTCTCTGGCTGCTTGTTGTAAGGAGGTCAGTGGGTTGCAAGTCGGAGACTATATTTGACATTGAGACATCTTCTTGTGTAAATGCAGAGACCAAATTCAAATGTTGAGGCATTGTGGCACATTGGTTATGACTGAAACAAAGGCTCAGGGTTTTGGTCAAAGGTAGTGCACTAAGTAGGGACTAGGGTACCATTTGGTAACACACACATGGAGTAGAAGGCTAGAAAGTCTTCTATATTCCTACCGTATCCTCCTGCCCTCTCCACCTCCTCTAGTGAGGGTTCCCCCAGTGCATCGTGGGCCAGCTGCAGCTGTTCTCGGAGCCTCCCTAGGTCTCTCTCTGCTTTGGCCCTCACGATGCTCAGCTCCGTGTAGATGTCCTTGTACTTGTCCGTCGCATACTTCTTATCCTGGAGGGACAAATGATACATTGTTTAAGGTGGTAGGGTGAGGAATACAACCTCAGCATAAAATAATGAGAAAAGAGCATAAAATACATTGAGAAAGTCTAAAAAGCAGTTTTAGGTAACTTGGGTCTTGGGACTTACTCGTTGTGCGGCCTGGAGTTCATCCTTCAGAGAGTTGATCTCCTGTTTTAGATACTGGACCTCTGACTCCTTCACCCTCAACATCACCTGCAACAGACCAAAACGGTAAGATTAAGGGGTATAAACTTCAGCTGTGCATAAAAGCAACGCACACTTTCGACAAACAGGAAGACTTCAGCGCATTTAAAATCGTCCAATCTTATGTTCCACCTCGAGCGGAGCTTACCTCCAACTCGTACAGTTCCTTCCCATGTGTGATGTTGCAGGTGTTTCCACCCCCGTCTTCAGTGGCCATAGAGCGCATCTTCGTGATCTCTGCAGCTAGACGGTTGTTGAGCTCCTACAGACACAAGGCACATGTCATGGTAAGTGTGAGGACTATTACCGGGTTGTGTGTGCGTGTACCTGTGTGTGTGTGGGCGCGTGTACCTGTGTGTGTGTGGGCGCGTGTACCTGGGTGTGTGTGTGTGCGCGTGTACCTGGGGGTGTGTGTGTGCGCGTGTACCTGGGGGTGTGTGTGTTGCGCGCGTGACCTGGTGTGTGTGTGCGCGCGTGTACCTGGGGTGTGTGTGCCGCTGCCGGTGTACCTGGGTGTGTGTGTGCGCGCGTGTACCTGGGTGTGTGTGTGCGCGTGTACCTGGGTGGTGGTGTGCGCGCGTGTACCTGGGTGTGTGTGTGCGCGCGTGTACCTGGGTGTGTGTGTGCGCGCGTGTACCTGGGTGTGTGTGTGCGCGCGTGTACCTGGGTGTGGTGTGCGCGCGTGTACCTGGGTGTGTGTGTGGCGCGCGTGTAAACCTGGGTTGTGTGTGTGGGAGCTGTACCTGGGTGTGTGTGTTGCGGTACCTGGGTGTGTGTGTGCGGTGTACCTGGGTGGTGTGTGTGTGCGCGTGTACTGGGTGTGTGTGTGCGCGGTTGTACCTGGGTTGTGTGTGTTACGGTGTGTGTGCGGCGTGTACCTGGGTGGTGTTGTGTTGCGCGGTGTACCTGGGTGTGTGTGCGTGTTCCTGGGTGTGTGTGTACCTGGTGTGTGTGTGGCGCGTTGTACCTGGGTGTGGGTGTGTGGTATGGGTTGTGTGGGTGTACTGGGTGTGTGTGTTGTGTGCGTGTGTGTACCTGGGTGTGTGTGGACGCTGTACCTGGGTGTGTGTGGCGCGTGTACCTGGGGTGTGTGTTGGGTGGTGTGTACTGGGTGTGGTGTGTGGTGTGCGGTGGTTACCTGGGTGTGTGTGTGTGTACCTGGGTTGTGTACCTGGGTGTGTGTTGTGTGATGTGTGTTGTGTCCGGGTGTGTGTGTGTGTACCTGGGTGTGTTTGGGTGGTGTACGGGTTTGTGTGTACCTGGGTGTGTGTGGGTGTGTTACCTGGGTGTGTGTGCCTGTGTGTGTAACTGGTGTGTGTGTGGACCTGGGTTGTTTACTGGTGGTGTTGTTGTGTGTACGGGTGTGTGTACTGGTGTGTGGTGTACCTGGGTGTGTGTGTGGGTGTACTGGTGTGTTGCTGGTTGTGTGTGTGTACGTGGTGTTGTGTGTACTGGGTGTGTGTGTACCTGTGTGTGTGTGTACCTGGTTGTGGTGTGTGTGTACCTGTGTGTGTGTACCTGGGTGTGTGTGTTGTACCTGGGTGTGTACTGGGTGTGTGTGTGTGTGTACGGGTGTGTGTTGTACCTGGGTGTGTGTGTGGTGTGTGTACCTGGGGTGTTGTGTGACCTGGGTGTGTGTGTACCTGGGTGTGTGTGTGTCCTGGTGTGTGGTGCTGGTGTGTGTTTGTTGTGCTGTGTGTGTGTCGGTGTGTACCGGGTGTGTGTTGTGTGTGTGTGTGTGTACCTGTTTGGTGTTGTATGTGTGTGTGGTGTACTGGTGTGTGTGTGTGTACCTGGTTGTGTGTGTTGTGTACCTGGTGTTGTGGGTGTGTCTGGTTGTGTGTTGTACTGGGTTGTGTGTTGTACTGTGGTGTGTGTGTACGGGTTGGTGTGTGCTGTGTGTGTACCTGGGTGTGTGTGGTGTACCTGGGGTGTGTGTACTGGTGTGTGTGTGTGTACCTGTGTGTGTGTTGTGTACCATGGTTTGTGTGTGTGTGTGTACATGTGGTGTGTGGTGTACACTGGGTGTTGTTAATGCATGGGTGTGTGTGTGGTGTACCTGGGTGTGTGGGTGTGTGTGTACCTGGGTGTTTGTTAGTGCCTGGGGTGTGTGTGTGTACCTGGTTGTGTGCGTTGAGCTCCTGGTTCTCCCTCTGACACTGTCTGAGGGCCTGTCTCTCAGCCTCCAGGGCCTGGGCCAGGTGGGCGTTCTCCAGGCACTTCTGAGAATACTGCTCAGACAGCACCTCGATCTCCCTCTGGAACGAACACAGCTCCTCTCTGGAGAAAAAGAGAAAGAAAGAAAGAACAAGAGGGATAGGGAAAGAGAGGGAAAGAGAGGGAGGGGAGAGAGAGAGGGGAAAGAGAGAGAGGGAAAGTCAGAGAGGGAACGAGAGAGGGTGAGAGAGAGGGAAAGAGAAAGAGAGAGAGGGGGAGAGAGAGAGGGGAAAGAGAGAGAGGGGAAAGAGAGAGGGGAAAAGGAAGGGAGGAGGAAGAGAAAGGGGAGAGAGAGGGAAAGAGAAAGAGGAGAGAGGGAAGAGGGAGAGGGGGAGAGAGAGAGGGAAGAGAGAGAGGGAGGGGAGCGAAGAGAGGAAAGAGAGAGGGGGGAGAGAGAGGGAACAGAAGGAGAAGAGAATGAGGGGAGAGAGAGCAGGGAAACAGAGAGAGAAAAGTCAGAGAGGGAACGAGAGAGGGACAGGAGAGAGGTGTCTTAGGTCGGAAATAGAAGAGAGGGGGGTGAGGAGAGGAGAGAAGGAAAGACGAGAGGGAGAGATGAGAGAGGGGAAGGAAGAGAGAGAGAAGGGGAGCGAGAGAGGGAAAAGCGGGGCGAGGGAGAGAGAGGGAAAGAGAGAGAAGAGAGAGAGGGGAAAGAGGGAGAGAGGTGGGAAAGAGAGAGAATGGAGAGAGAGGGAAAGAGAGGGGGGGAGAGAGTGACAGAGAGGGAGGGGGAGAGAGAGGGAAAGAAAGAGAGGCAAAGAGAGAGGCAAAGAGAGAGAGGGAAAGAGAGGGAAAGAGGGATGATGTGGGGAAAGGAGGAGGGAACGAGCGGAGAGGGGGGAGAGAGAGAACACAGGAAAACACTCAGTAAATCAGACAATACAAGGCAACACACTCAGCCAATCAATATCATACATTTACCACCCAATACCACACTCAGCCAATCAATATCATACATTTACCACCCAATACCACACTCAGCCAAACAATTCCATACATTTACCACCCAATACCACACTCAGCCAATCAATACCATACATTTACCACCCAATACCACACTCAGCCAAAACAATTCCATACATTTACCACCCAATACCACATCTCAGCCAATCAATTCCATACATTTACCACCCATACCACACTCAGCCATCAATTCCATACATTTACCACCCAATACCACACTAGCCAATCAATACCCATACATTTACCAGCCCAATACCACACTCAGCCAATCATATCATACATTTACCACCCAATACCACACTCAGCCAAACAATTCCATACATTTACCACCCAATACCACACTCAGCCAATCAATTCCATACATTTACCACCCAATACCACACTCAGCCAATCAATTCCATACATTTACCACCCAATACCACACTCAGCCAATCAATTCCATACATTTACCACCCAATACCACACTCAGCCAATCAATACCATACATTTACCACCCAATACCACACTCAGCCAAACAATTCCATACATTTACCACCCAATACCACACTCAGCCAAACAATTCCATACATTTACCACCCAATACCACACTCAGCCAATCAATTCCATACATTTACCACCCAATAACACACTCAGCCAATCAATACCATACATTTACCACCCAATCAATACCATACATTTACCACCCTCTCTTTTCCCTCATAATAGCTGACCAAAGGAAACAGCAGCACAGAGCATAGAAAACCCCTTCATTCTGTAGGGCGAGATGGAAAACACCAGACTTAGTTCAGCAACTCCTTCCTTCATATTTTAGTTCTGGCCTGACACTGGAGCTTCAGTCTATTCAGAGGCCAGACAGACTGGGCCAGACTGCTGCTAATCAGTTCCTTAATCAACCCCAGACAGACGGATGGAACTGGAACCGTCTTCGGTCTGTAATTCCGAGTTTGGCAAGGTCACCCAGCTGCCACCTTAGTTCCAGGTTGCCCTGGTTACAGCTGGCAAGGCACAGCCAGTCACAGTCACATACTGGCTTCGTTCCCATGGCGCTGGGTTGGGTTTGAAGTTCAATAAAAAAAAAACTGCATCACAAAATTAAGTTATTTATCTGAAATATCCCAATTTTGACAGATGATGGACAACATTCCCCCCCCCCCCCCAACTCTGTTTTTCTCCTCAAACTGACAGGAATGAAACATTTTCATAAAATCGGCCATGTCAGGGCATCTGCAGTTACACCTGTGACTGAGGTGAGATGTGTCAAACGATAACATGCACTCTGGCCACGTGAGGAGAAATACCGGCACAAAGGTCACAACTAGTCATCAGCACAAGCCGTATAAACTCAGAGACCTCTTGATAACGAAGAGACCCTTTTTGGGACTGAACTGGGGATAGAAGGAGGACGCCGGATTGGCGCACATTCAACAAAATCTGACCTAACAAAGTGGATATTCGTCAAATCCGTCATGATTGATGCATTATAACAGGCCCACAATGTGGGTACTAAAGTCACATTTTGATATAATTTGGCTGTTTTCGCTGCACAACATTTAGAAGTTGTCCCTTTTCAGGTTCAGAAGAAGTGCCTGCTAAATGCTAACTCCCGTTCGTATTCACTGGTAACATTCCTTGTACACAGACATCGGTGGTGGTAGTCAGTCATTTTGAACTGTAATGCAGTTGATTGGTGACGACGTTATGAACATGTATTGGGGGTTGACATCCATACAAGCATTATCCTACGATTTTTTACCTCAAAATAGTGTGAAATACACATATAAACAACAGGCTAAATGTAGGAGACTCTGGATCTTTCCACCTGCGTTTCCATGGCATTTCCATCGTTTTGGTTGATTTTGATTGACCTCTTTATGATTGACCTCTTTATGACCTCTCGCATGTTCAATGAATAGAGCACATTTTGGGTAGTGTATCTTGGTCACAAAAAGCAAGTAATTTCACCTCATTTTAACATTGTCATAAAGAGCACATGTTCAACTCCATAAAAAAAAGAAACATGTTTTCCCATCATAAATATGATTTATTACTATATTAAGTGCCAATAAAAGGCCATTCAAGTAACAGAGTTGACCGTAACAGGGTTGAGGTTTTCATCTTAAATCAGCAATGAATCCCCTTGTAACAGGGGGGATGGAAGCTTGTTGTGTGCAAAAGGGAGGGTCGTTTAAATGCAAGCTTCACAATCTTTTTAAATTGTTAAAACATTTCTAGCCTGTCTATGGGTAACAGGGTTGACGTGTTATGCTCGACGCGCTCAGTTTTCCACCACTAAACACCAGGAAATGGCCAAAAAGAGTAGAACCAGCGCACCTGCTTTTACACTATGATTTGACTATCAGATGATCGATGTTTCTTTTGAAAAATATATTTAAAAAGTAATAGTTTCAGCATATTAAAACTAGAGTTTGTTTCACGTAAACAGGGTTGACCTTAAAATGAGGGACAGACCTAAATGAATCACTAATCACATGAACTAAATAATAATCTTCAAAAATGGACTGTCAAAGCAAGAACATAAAGGGCTTTACAGTGATGGTGAAAACTTGACATTTTGGGGTTAAGTGGTTTAAAAACTTCCTAGAAGTTGCAGATTTTTGGAACTTTAGCAAGTCTTTACTCATATAAAAATCGGATTTATTGAATTTTCCACGGTCTTTATTAAAGGGCACTTCATAAAGGCATTTAATTCAATATTGGTGCACAATTTCTCCTTAAAATATCAAAAGGGACGCAAAATGTACCCGTATGTTGTAAGGCAGTTCTTTGGGACTGATGGGGACTTAAGTCCTCAGTTTTTACTCAAGAGGAATAGTAAACATTGTAAATATTGACTCAAGAAGAGTCAGGACTGGAAAATGGAGTCTTGACTCTTATTGAAGAGTGTACGATCTCGGAGAGTCTCTGTGTGTAGTATCATGTGCTTGTGGTACTGAGGGGATATGACAACTTTAAGATAATATGGTCTTGGAGATGGTAATATGCTTGCAGTACTGAGGGGACATGATATCACATTTTATCACAAATCAATTTATAACATTTTTGATTTTTTTGTCTCTCACTGTTCAAATAAACCTACCATTAAAATTATAGACTGATCATTTCTTTGTCAGTGGGCAAACTTACAAAATCAACAGGGGATCAAATACTTTTTTCCCTCACTGTAGGTGTTCCTCTTGTCCAGGTGTAATAGGGCAGTGTGTAGCGCAATGGTGATAGCTTCATCTGTGGATATGTTGGATGATATGCAAATTGTAGTTGGCCCAGGGTGTCAGGTAAGGTGGAGCTGATTTGGTCCTTGGGACCAGCCTCTCAATGCACTTCATGATGACAGAAGTGAGTGCTACAGGTCGATAGTCATTTAGGCAGGTTATCTTGGCTTGCTTGGGTACAGGGGCAATGGTGGACATCTTAAAGCACGTGGGGATCACAGACTGGGACAGGGAGAGGTTGAATATGTCCGTGAACACTCAAGCCAGCTGGTCTGCGCATGCTCTGAGGACGTGGCCAGGGATACTGTCTGGACCGGCTGCTTTGCGAGCATTCACACGCTTGAAGGTCTTACTGACGTCAGCCGCAGAGATCGAGAGCTCATAGTCTTCTACAGCAGCGGGCGCCCTCATGGGAGGATCGGTGTTGATTACCTCAAAGCAAGCATAAAAAGTGTTTGCTCGTCTGGGAGAGCGGCATTGGTGTTCGCTGGTTTTCCATTTATAATCCGTGATGGTTTGTAGTCCTTGCCACATGCGTCTCACGTTGGAGCCGTTCAAAAGCGATTCCACTTTATCCCTGTACTGTCTTTTTGCATATTTGATTGATTTCAGGAGGTCGTAGCTGGTCTTTTTGTATTCATCCATATCCCCAAACACTCGGCCTGAGGTTAAATGCATTGGTCCGCGCTCTCAGTTTTGTGCCATTTACCCATGGTTTCTGGTTGGGATAGGTGCGAATAGTCACTGTTGAGAGAATGTCCTCTGCATTTCCTGATGAACCCCATGACTGAGTCTGTATACTCGTTGATGTTATTGTCGGAGGCGACCTGGAACTTTGTCCCAGTCCATGTGATCAAAAGCAGTCCTATAGCATAGATTCTGATTGGTCAGACCAGCATCGAACCGATCTTACCACGGGTACTTCCTGCTTTAATTTCTGTTTATAGGTTGGTAGGAGCAGGATGGAGGCGTGGTCTGATGAGGCACTTTTCTCAGATTTCCTTTACAGCCGTGATTATAACCACTGGGAATTATCTCAGGAGATAGTGAGGTCAGCATTTAATCGTGAGGTATTCCAGATTGGGAGAACAGAAAGTCCTGAGGAATTGTAAGTTACCACAGTCACACCATGAGTTGTTGATAATGAAGCAAATCCCGCCTGTCCACGCGATATATACGGAAAACCCAGCAGGCTGCATAGCCGAATCCAGCACAGAGCCCATGAGCCACGTTTCAGTGAGGCAAATTACGTGAGTCTCTCGGGTCCCATTGGTAGGAAATCCTCACTCTGAGCTTGTATAACTTATTGTCCAGAGACTGTACATTTGCTAGTAAAATACTAGGAAGCATTAGGTGATTTGTCCTTCTCCTTAGTCGGACCAGAATGACAGCTCTCTTTTTGGTAGGGCTCCTGGAATGAATGGAACTGCTTCAGGAGAACTGAACAAAGGGTCCAGTTCTGGAAAGTCGAATCTGTCAAATTTGTGGCGAGTAACCGCCGATCTGATGTCCAGGAGTGCTCGTCTGTCATACAAGATAATACTAGAAACATTCTGAGCAAATAAAGTAAAAAAAGAACACTAAAATGAACAAAAGACTGCAAAGTTGGCTAGGAGCAAGCAACAAGGGCGAACGTGTCTGTCGGTGCCATCTTGTCATAATGATATGCTAACTTACTCGTGTTGCCTGCATATCTCCTCTATGTCTGCGTTCTCTGTGTTGCTGTTGGACTTGCGGGCCTTGTCCAGCTCCTTCTCCAGCTCCGACCGGTGTGCGTTCTTCATCGCCTCGATTGCTGGGGCAACCAAAACAAAGAACGTTGTTATTGAGGAGAGATCATCTGGCATAGCCGGACCACGTTAGGTTATCGTGTTGTTTTAGAAAGAAAAATCCACTGTTTTATAAAGCAGAGCCCAAAGACCATGGTAACTCACATTTATGGGTTTGTGTACACAAGTGAACAAAATACTTCATGTTAGCCTGATGCTACTGCTGTGCCTATATAATTACCAAGGTGCTACTGCTGATAGGGTTAGCGTTAGCTGCTATCGCAATTACTACTGACCGGCTATGGTAGCGGCAGTCTCCTCGGCTAGCAGCCTCTCCTTTTCCTCGTGTAGGTTCTCCAGCTCTCTCTGGTTTTTCCTCTGCAGCTCGTCGACCACCCTCTGGTGGGACTCCTCCATGGCAGCAAAGCCCCTCTCACAGGTGGCCTATCAACGGAGGGGAATGGGTGCAAAGTGAATCTACATGAAACCATAAGATAGGGCCAGGGAGTTTCCTGCGTGACCATGTGAACCTGACTAGGAAAACCTCTGGACCCTAGTTATAGGGTATAGAGTGCACTGGAATTTTTCCTGGTCAAACTCTGGACCCAGAACTCCTGACCCCAGCCACAACCACTGCTGACCATCTATTCACTGACGACAAACACCAAGCTAGCTACTTTAGCCATTAACAACACAAGCCTCTGGTACAGAATACACAATACGTTGAAGAAATGCGTAGGCAGCAAGAACACAATGTGATTGAGAAGCAAAACAAAAACAGAAGGCTGTGTTCTGTAACCTAATTATCCCTGCAACAGTAAAGGTATTCAACCACTGCCAGGTTTTTTAGCCAAGTAAACCCGCTCGCTCACAAAACACCTATTACAGATTGAGTTAATGTCTAGTGTCTCATATTGTTAGCCGTCTATAAATGTGAAAAACCTCTAATCTGTTTTTATTGGATAAATCTGGGTGGAATGTATGAGGTTGGGATGAGACCAAATAGAACGATGGATAATAGTGGGGTGATTTCCGTGGGGACAGACAGACAGTGTGGAGTCTGGTGTGTCTCCATCATAAGGGGCCAGGGACAGCCTGTCTGTGTCAAATGAGGCAGGATTGCCAGTTTAGCACCAACACCTTTTAGCAGTATAGAGAAAGAAGGCTGGGGAGGGGAGGAGGGGGTCTGATCAACACGGTTTTAGCAAGGGCCATTCACAACGCTATTATAATTACAGTGCATGTTTCCACAAGAGGGGATTTGAATGGCCTTCCGACCGGCTCGACCCAAATCCTTACTTCCGTCCTCTATTCAGCGCTGCTAATCTGAGTACTCAGTCAACGGAGCTGTCCTATAAATTCCCAGTGCTCGGGAAACTGGCCTAGGTGGGAACAAACTTTGAGACAGAGTGAACCAATCCCCCCCCCCCCCCCCACCCCCTACTAGATGGATCTATGGGGGGCACTTCCTGCTGTGACATCACAGCAAGCAACACCTGCCTTTTGTTTAGTGTGTAAGTGATGAAACCTGTCCTGCACACGGTCATCAAGGACCAGGAAGAGCACCGCTACAATGTTCCCTACTGACACTACAATGTTATTACAGTTAGTGGACCGCACCACCAGTCTGTCCCTATACACAACAGCAATACAAAGATTACATCATCAGCAGCGACAAAAGACATGGTGTAGCATATGTCAACGTGTCAGCTGTGCTCCCAAGCCGTGTTATAGACCTGAGTAGGAGACCCCATGTTTCCTTCCTGAGGTTTACGACCCCATGTCATCTGCTTAGAAACAGCCTCTATTCAGGCCTAATAAAACCATGCAGAACTCAACAGCTCTTCAAACTATTCATATAGAGCTGGAGCCTGATTATAAACTACCTGTGTAATTCTTATACACGTCTACAACACAACGTAATGTAGAGACCATGACAATGGATAAAAGTTTTTTTTTTTTTTTACTTGAATTCTCTAAAGAAATACACAAAACCTAGGATCTATGAGGTATAAAAACATCTGGGTAACTATATGTTTACATACATTACCAAGGATTCTGGGTAGATGATCATGGTGGAATGTGGTTAATGGACTTTTCATTTGCGATTAGATCTCGTTTTGCATTTCTTCCTTTTTTAGAATGACTTTTCCAAGAAAGTAAATATGTCTATGCTTCAAGCATTCTGCAATGTTTTGATAGCCTGTCAATTATCATTACTTGTTAATCAGCATGTCAGAAGGGGGAAAGTTGTTTGTTGTCAGTTAAAGCAACATCACATCAAAGACAAAGAGGTAAGCCCCATGCATCTTTAAATGCAGTTCATTTAGGCTTCATCATCCTCAAGAAAAAAAGCAATATGTCCACCTATCTAAATCATGTATCTGTTGAGGACAACAATAGGTAGACAGCTTTAAAGGGCTTCAACCATTTGTCTAGGACACTTCTAATATATACGACGCCTACTGTAGCTGCCGAGGAACTCATTTCATCAGCAACTATACCTGCTGGGATGATCATTACACATTGGATGTGTAAATATGCTGATAGACACTGAATAACATGACCTGAATTATTTGTCAGCCTCACTTTCATGGGACTGTAGGACAGGTTCTGGTTGGTCTCCCTAAGCAGATGGGTTGCCTCCCACATTAACAATGTTCCAGTTGGGATTTCGGAGACTAAGTTCTGGTTAACTAACCTTTTCCTGTCAAACAAAAACGGGTTCCTCAGCGCACAACTAGCGTCAACAACCACATGCACTAACAGTGGATTAGTCACCATGCAACACTGGAGGATACTGGTTTACAAAGGAAAGGGAGGTACGAGGGGTTCGGGAGGGTGGGGGGTGGTAAGGGAGGTAGAAGGGGGTCGGGAGGGGGTAAAGGAGGTAGGGGGGGGGGGTCGGGAGGGTGGAGGGGGTCGGGAGGGTGGGGGGTTCCACAAGGAGACAAGGCATCACGGACGGAGAGAACAGAAAGGACAAGGTACGGCTTCCACCTTCAGATTCTCCAGGTCTTTGTCGTATTTCAGCCGGAGGATAGCTGCGTCGCCCTGGAGCTCCCTCCGCTTCATCTCCTCCGTCATGGCCGAGATCTGGGCCACCAGCTCCTGGATGCGCTCCTTGAGGGCAGAGGTTGTGGAGGTCTCAGGGGACATCGTCCCATCCTCTGCCCCAGTGAGATAGCCTCCTCCTGGGGTGACATCCATCTGGTGATGGAACTTCTCCAGTAGGACGCTCCCCTCTGTCTCGTGTTTCTTCTTCAGGTTCTCCATGCAGACAGTCAGAGAGTCGATCTCCTTCACGTTTTCTTCACGTTCTAGACGCAATATCTCGGCCACCTTTGCCACCTCCTGTCTCAGATTTTCTGTTTCCTGTGCGTAGACGTCCTTGATCTCCCGCAGCTCCAGCTTGTGCTTGGCAACTACGTCTTGCAGCTGTATGGCCTTGTCCAGTGAGTCAATGGGCTCCCCTTCGATCTGAATGTGTGTTACTGGTCTAGTATCTTCACTCATAGTGCTTTCAAGGCATGGCAGATGATTCTGTAGATCCGCCAATTTGGATTGGAGATCTCGGTTCTGTTCTCTCAGTAGAGAGCAGTTGGCACAGTCAGAGTTGCCAATCTGAAGTTTCTCAACCTGTGTTACTTTCAGCTCTTTCTCGTGTTGGAAGTTCAGCCTGCTGATGAGATAGGACATGTGAGCTTCTGTGGCTGCGTCTTGAAGGTGCTCAGACCAACGTTTCTTAAGTTTGCCGGAATCAAAGCTAGCTAAGACCAAGGACAGGAGCTTGTCATTTGTGGACATCTCAATGGTGGAGGCAATTAGGTTAAACAAATACACTTTCTCTTGCAATGACTCTGTTAGATCTTTCAAAATGTGCGTGTTGGTGTCATTATCAAGCCAGCTGCACCAATTCAAAAGGTCTGCTTCCATGGTCTGTGCAGTCACAGTAATCTCATTATCAACTTCCATCTTGGGTCGAGGAGAAATCCTGTTCATCAACAGCAACATGCTCTTCTCAGCTACCATACGCTGTGCTACACACCTTTCAAAACGACATGCACCTTCAGTCTCGCATGGGCTAACCTCTAGAGCGCTCAACAGACCACTCCAGAACGCTGCCTCTAATACCAACCTTTTCATTACTCTCTGACTTACTTCATCTGGCTCCTCTTCAAAGGATCCGAGGCCGTCTGTGATATGTAAAGTGCTTTTCAGATCAATTAGCGTTTTCTCCACACTAACATCTACCTTCACTAACACCTCTAACACCCGACTAAGGGCCTCAGACTTCATCTTTATCTCACTTACTACTTGCCTTACAACACTTTCGTCTGCTACCTGCCTCAACTCTTCACTAACATTCACTTCTCTTTCTCCCCTAGCCGACTTCGCCTCTACCTCCAACTTTCCTCGCAACATCCTAATCTCATTCTCTGCCTCTAAAAGTTTCGGCCTCTGGACTCTCTCCGATTCCTGGTTTCTAGCTTGAAGTTCAACATTCTGAGCTTGAAGTTCTCTACAGAGCTCTTCCTTTTCTAATAGCATGGCCCCTGTTGCCTCCAGCTGCTCTTTGAGTTGCTCCTTCTCCTTAGGAGCACCTTCCTCGGCCATCTGGAATCCCAGACCTTTGAGAGTGGCCTCTTTCAGCTGCAGTCTCCTCTCCCTGTCCTTCAGGCTGCTTCCTAGCACCTCCAAGGTGACCAGGGCTTCGTGAAGCTTCACAGACTTCTCATTCAGCTCGCTCTCATAGAACTCCCTGTCGATAGCGTTGGCTTGGCTCTCCGCTAGTCTGACCCTGACCCTGTTCAGCTCCTCTAGGACCAGTAGGTGTTGTTTCCCGCCTTGCAGGTTGATCAGCTCCGCTTTAAGCCTGTCGATCTCCCCATCTGCCTCAGTTAGTTGGTTCACTATCTCCTGACAGTGCTGGTACAGCGCTCCGTTTTCGCTGTTTAGAAGTTCAACCCGCCGGGACAACGTCCCGATGGTCATCTCGTGGCTTTCCGAGCGGTCTTCGATTTGACACAGTGGTCCGTAAGGGGTCTTCAGGCTCTCCGCCTTCTGAACACTTCCCAACATGTCCTCCATGGCCAGGAGACGTGATTCGTAACTGCGGATGCTTTCGCCCGCCCTGGTCAAGCTCCTCTTCATGTTCTCATTCTCTACCTCTCGTTGAGACTTCCAGCTCTCCAAGAGCCTCTGGCAGCTACCCTGTTCTCCTATATCCTGACTACTCTCCAGGCTGACTTCACCGTGCGATCTTAGCAATCTAAGCAGTCCCTTCAGAGTCAGGGGCTTTCCTGATATCAAGTCCTCTAGCTCTTGAATCCTGTCGGCACTATCTTCGATCAAAAAGCTAACAGTCTTTTTGACGGGTGGCTCTGAGGAAGGCAGGCTTTCCAGAGGGGTTGTTGTTTGGGGGTCGGAAAGGTAAGGTTCCGCGAGGGAGAGGTGAGAAAGCGAGAGGCCAAGCTGCGCCTGCATATTACGCTTTTTCAGTTCTTGCAGCTGCAGGAGCTCTTTGGTCTCCTGGTACTTCCTTGCTAAGCTCTGAGCTTGAGAACTAACCAGTTCCGGCCTCTTCGTCTGGGGCTCGGGATCGGACTCCAGAACCAGCTTGGAGAAGGGGACCAAAAAGTTGGTTAACACACATAGCAAAGGGTGAGAAGGCTAGCTAATTTTTTTAGATTAATACATCAATTATTTCCCTCTTGATTCAGAGCAATGAAACATTATGAAATCATAATATATGTCATTTTGAGTTCAACATTATACCATTTAACCATAATGATGAAAAAACATTGCAGAAGTAGAATCCAGCTTCTATCATTAATGATGAGAATTAGAGCGCTGGAAAGAGATTTAATGGTCATGATTAGTGAATCACAAAATAGCATGCACATTAAATGGATGAGAGTTATTTCATGGGGTAAGTGATGAAAAGTTAGTGCTAGCTAGGTGGTTTCATTAGAGATGGGAGGCATACCAGGCTCTAGGAATAAACGATGTTCTTGAACTATCATTTTTCTGAATTCTTTGTGTTCTTCACAAAAACATTTCTCAAAAAAGGCACTCATCACATCGCATCACACTGTGTAATAGCAATGTAACAATGCTGGTCAAAACTCAAATCAAACAGTGTAATGAATGTGAAAATTGCTTCTTAAATTAAATAAACCAAAAATAAGTAAAAACAACATGAACAGGACATTATTATCTTCTCCTGAAATGACCTTTTATTTGGCTTTATAAAAATGCAAAGGCCAGCATAAACTAATTACATTCTCTCCCTCTCTAAACAGCAAAGTCGTCAACTCAAAAATGTCTCCAAAGCCCCTTTTGAACTGAATCTCATTTAATTTGTTACATCCAAGAAAACCTACTATCTTTGATAAACTCAGATTTACACAATACGTGGTGAAGAATTCAAAAAGCATACTTTAACCCTCCATACGGACACACACTCACCTCTCTCCCTCTCTAACACACATAAACACAAGCAAACATCCAATAGAAAACTATTATCTGCATAATGGTATGGCTCACACATCAGTTAAAAAGAAGAATGGATGGTCGGAACAGTAGTTCATAAAAAATCTGAAATCCATGCAAAGAATTCATTAGGAGACAAGCCGAACATGTTATTTAAATACAGTTCCGAGCCAAACGTAATCATTTCAACAACTATGGCTGTACTGTTGAAGTCAAGCAGCCTAACGCATTCATGCCATTTACAGCATCACAGGAACATCGAAAAGGAAACGTATCCATCTAATGTTAATCATTAAATCGGATGCATCACATTCAATACACATGCATGAGTTTGGAACATCTGTCCTACCTGAAAAGAAACAACATCAGCAAGAGGTGATGGACGAAAAGAAGCCGTAAAAGGAGAAAAACAAGATCTTCACGTTTCTCCTCACATGCAACCAACGGACTCATGCAAAAGGCACGTTCTGGAGCGGGTTTTGTAGCTTTGATGTCAGTTTGTTTGATGTTTTCTCACAATAAAAATACAACATGCAAAGGAGGTTACGAAATGGAAAGAGAACACACAGCTCAATCTGTACGGTTGAGTTTATGAAATCTGAACTTGGGTATGAACTCAACAGGACTGCCTATAGAGAACAGAACAGCTCTGAGGAGGAGAACAAAAATAGCTGGTGCTGCTTACCTGGGAGATGTATCCGGAACGGACGTGCTGCTCTCTCTCCAGAGCCGTCCTCAGCTGGACCTCCAGATTGTGTTTGTGCTGGTTGGAGTCCACCAACTGCTGGTGACAGTTCTCCAACTGCACCTTGAGCTCTTCTACCTGGGAGAGGCACGGTACAATGGACAAGGTGAACGTGTGAGGAGAGCACTGACCTATCAAGAATCTCTGACCTTTGACATTGCATTGATCTCGGTTCACATAAACACCCACCCCTTTCTTGTAGCTCTCCAGGAGTTTCTCCAGCTCGGCTGTCTCCCTGGTCTGCAGCGTCGAGGGCAGAGGTACCCGCCTCTCATCCCTGATGGGTGTCTGCTCCACCTGCTGCCAGTGCTGCTCCATCTCCTCCTCCGCCTTCTGCTGCATCTCCAGGGTGGGGGGACCCCCACCCTCACCCCCAGGGCTGCCTTCACTCTCTCCCCCCCTCTCATAGTCCATCCTCCCACCTTCAGAGCCTGTTGATTGGTCCACGGAGGAGCTAGTCACAGACTCATACCTCCTCCTTCGTTCTTCCCTCCGCCGACTCCGATCGGGGTCTCCGATGTCAGTCTGCAGGGGCTCGGACTTCTGGGCCCGCTGCTGGGCCAAAGCCTGGGCAATGGGTCGGAACTCTCCCCAGTCGAAGGTCTTGGAACGGCCCTGTTGTCGGCGCTCGCGTGCCCGGCTCTTCTTGGGGCCTGGCCCTTGCTCACGCTCCACGGACGAGGTCTCGGAGGGAGGGGAGTCCTGGGTCACGTCCGGCTGAACCAGCCCCTCCAGTGGGGAGAAGGAGCTGTGGTTGCTAGCCACGTCTGGAGCGGTGGAGGGTCTGACGTTCTTCATGACAGCCTGGATCCAGTTCCTCCGTATGCCTGCAGTCATGGCCGACAGGGTGTGTACGCCCTCCTGGGTCTGAGGACGACAGTTAGGGCGTTAGATTCACACTGTACAATAACAGCTATAGCATTGGGTGACAGCGAAGGGGTCTGTTACTTCCATACACTGAAGTGCTTTTTGATAATAAAACAAGTGACAAAAAGGGTTACATGAACGCAAATCAAATCATTACTACTACCGATGATAATCTGAGACTGTATGTGAGTGATTGGGGCTTACATGTATCTGGAAGCCGTAGTTGCGTTGAGCCTGGTATTCAGTGACATTATAACACGTACACAGGTCTATTTCCCCGTCCAGATCTGAAGCCTGCAATACAGCATCATTACAGATCGTAAAGTCAGGAACAGAAGACCATTATCAGCGTACAAGCAGCCAGTTGCAGGAGTTAAACAATTATTTTGAAACTGTGTACTTACACTAAACAAAAATATAAACGCAACATGGAATAATTTCAAAGATTTTACTGAGTTACAGTTCATATAAAGGAAATGTGTCAATTGAAATAAATTCATTAAGCCCTAATCTATAAATGTCACATGACTGGGAATACAGGTATACATCTGTTGGTCACAGATACCTTAAAACAAAGGTAGGGGCGTGGATCAGAAAACCAGTCAGTATCTGGTGTGACCATTTGCCTCATGCAGCGCGATACATCTCCTTCGCATAGAGTTGATCAGGCTGTTGATTGTGGCCTGTGGAATGCTGTCCCACTCCTCTTCAATGGCTGTGCGAAGTTGCTGGATATTGGAGGGAACTGGAACACGCTGTCATACACATCAGTCCAGAGCATTGTGTACAGATGCTTGCAACATGGGGCCGTGCATTATCATGCTGAAACATGAGGTGATGGCGGCAGATGAACGGCACGACAATGGGCCTCAGGATCTCGTCATGGTTTCTCTGTGCATTCAAATTGCCATCGATAAAGTACAATTGTGTCTGTTGTCCGTAGCTTATGCCTGCCCATACCATAACCCCACCGCACCCATGGGGCACTCTGTTCACAACGTTGACATCAGCAAACCACGGGCCCACATGACGCCATAAATGCTGTCTGCCACCTGCCCGGTACAGTTGAAAACGCGATTCATCCGTGAAGAGCACACTTCTCCAGCGTAACAGTGGCCATAGAAGGTGAGCATTTGCCCACTGAAGTCGGTTACGACGCCAAACTGCAGTCAGGTCAAAACCCTGGTGAGGACGACGAGCACGCAGATGAGCTTCCCTGGGATGGTTTCTGACAGTTTGTGCAGAAATTATTTGGTTGTGTTAACCCACAGTTTCACGAGCTGCCCGGGTGGCTGGTCTCAGACCATGGTGAAGAAGCCAGATGTGCAGCCCCGTGGTCTGCGGTTTTGAGGCCGGTTGGACGTACTTCCAAATTCTCTAAAACAAGGTTGGAGGCGGATTATGGTAGAGAAATGAACATTCAATTCTCTGGCAACTGCTCTGGTGGACATTCCTGCAGTCAGCATGCCAATTGCACACTTCCTCAAAACTTTTGACATCTGTGGCACTGTGTTCCGACACAAAAATTCACATTTTAGAGTGGCCTTTTATTGTCCCCAGCACAAGGTGCACCTGTGTAATTATCATGTTGTTTAAATAGCTTCTTGATATGCCACACCTGTCAGGTGGATGGATTATCTTGGCAAAGTAGAAATATTCCCTAACAAGGATGCAAACAAGTTTTTGCACAAAATTTGAGCGAAATAAGCTTTTTGTGGGTATGGAACATTTCTGGGATCTTTTATTTCAGCTCATGAAACATGGGACAAACACTTTACATGTTGCGTTTATATTTTTGTTTAGTATACAAAGTTATCAATAGGAAATCAATACCGCATTGACTAACACGTATTCCATTTCTTTTAAAGATAACCACTGCCCTTGCTACAGTCGGTCACAGTTGAACTAGCACGATTGACGAGTCTGGATGGATTTAGAGATAAGTCACCTCTTCAGCAATTGAGTCCTTGTAGTATCGGAGGCTGTGGTCTGTCAGTACGAACCAATACTTCTTCCACTGTAGGGGAGAAAGGGGACACAGAGTTCACTGGGAATACAGAAACTGTTCTGCTCCCCCTGTAGACTGAGAATAAAACATCTATTTAGCGCCAGTGGGAGTTATGATGGAGCAATTTTAAATTTTTAAATTTTAGTCATTTAGCAGACGCTCTTATCCAGAGCGACTTAACAGTTAGTGAGTGCATACATTATTTTTGTATTTTTCATACTGGCCCCCCGTGGGAATCGAAACCCACAACCCTGGCGTTGCAAACACCATGCTCTACCAACTGAGCTACATCCCTGCCGGCCATTCCCTCCCCTACCCTGGACGACGCTGGGCCAATTGTGCGCCGCCCCGTGGAATGACATCAGGAGCTTGGTTCTGTGTGCAACACATAGATTTTAGTCATTTAGTGGTGCGTCTTACAGTAGTGAGTGCATACGTTTTTTCATACTTTTCGTACTGGTCCCGTGCGGAAATCAAACCCACAACCGTGGCGTTGCAAGCACCATGCTCTTAACAACTGAGCTACACTATACCCAGCACAGACAAACACCGAAACAAACCCCCGGAAGAGGAGACTGGGGATGTTATCCTCACATGGTCTCTCCTATCATTGCTACGCTGACGATACACAACTAATCTTCTCCTTTCCCCCTTCTGATAACCAGGTGGCGAATCGCATCTCTGCATGTCTGGCAGACATATCAGTATGGATGACGGATCACCACCTCAAGCTGAACCCTGGCAAGACGGAGCTGCTCTTCCTCCCGGGGAAGGACTGCCCGTTCCATGATCTCGCCATCACGGTTGACAACTCCGCTGTGTCCTCCTCCCAGAGTGCGAAGAGCCTAGGCGTGACCCTGGACAACACCCTGTCGTTCTCCGCCAACATCAAGGCGGTGACCCGCTCCTGCAGGTTCATGCTCTACAACATTCGGAGAGTGCGACCCTGCCTTACACAGGAAGCGGCGCAGGTCCTGGTCCAGGCACTTGTCATCTCCCGTCTGGACTACTGCAACTCGCTGTTGGCTGGGCTCCCTGCCTGTGCCATTAAACCCCTACAACTCATCCAGAATGCCGCAGCCCGTCTGGTGTTCAACCTTCCCAAGTTCTCTCACGTCACCCCCCTCCTCCGCACACTCCACTGGCTTCCAGTTGAAGCTCGCATCCGCTACAAGACCATGGTGCTTGCCTATGGAGCAGTGAGGGGAACGGCACCTCTGTACCTTCAGGCTCTGATCAGTCCCTACACCCAAACGAGGACATTGCGTTCATCCACCTCTGGCCTGCTGGCTCCCCTTCCTCTGCGGAAGCACAGCTCCCGCTCAAGCCCAGTCAAAACTGTTTCGCTGCTCTGGCACCCCCCAATGGTGGAACAAGCTCCCTCACGACGCCAGGACAGCGGAGTCACTCACCACCTTCCGGAGACATTTGAAAACCCCACCTCTTTAAGGAATACCTGGGATAGGATAAAGTATTCCTTCTAACCCCCCCCCCCCCCCCCCCCCCCCCCCCCCCCCCCCCCCCCCCCCCCCCCCCCCCCCCCCCCCCCCCCCAAATTGTAAAGTGGTTATCCCACTGGCTATAGGGTGAACGCACCAATTTGTGAGTCGCTCTGGCTAAGAGCGTCTGCTAAATGACGTTAATGTGCCCTTGAGCAAGGCACTTAACCCTAATTGCTCCTGTAAGTCGCTCTGGTTAAGAGCGTCTGCTAAATGACTAAAATGTAAATGTAATGTTGGTAGCCCCTCTGAAAAGTAAGGATTTCTATGAAAGCTGTGTGTTAACTTGGACTGTGCAATAAATCAAATCAAAGTTTATTGGTCACATACACATCATTACAGATGTTATCACAGGTACAGCGAAATGCTACTGTATCTAGCTCCAACAACGCAGCAATATCTACAAATGTATAGCGTTGGCGCATCGGTCTACACATTAAATATAGCTGTAAAAAGAACATGGATCTGCTGTATAAAGAGAGGCACCACATCACCCTTTCAACTGTCACCCATTGAAGCTGTGCCATCAAAGACTGACTGACGCTCGGCTCTAAAGGCCATAGAATACTAGAACATTCTAAAAAGGCATTAGATGAACCTTCAGATGACTGTTTGAACTGCAACTGACTCCCTGCTTTGATGATCTGACCTAAAAAATAAAAATACCATTTAAAAAAATCTCATGGCATCAAATAATGTTCATTATTCAAGAGTTTAAATTTCCCAGGAACATATCAAAAAAACAAAAAAAACATCAGTTGTTTTGGTGATGTTGGTAGGTTTGGTTTGTTGCTTACTTGTCCTTCCTCATCCAGCTTCACCATCCAACCTTTCTTGAAGTTCAGCAAGTCGGGCTGGACAAAGAAACAAAAATACATAACTTTAAATCTTTAAAAATGCCAAAGAAATCAACCCGAGATCCAGTAAAGTCAGTCTAGTGAACCCACACAGCAAACATCATGCAAGATGAACCAAGAGATGCTGAAACGCACAGATACCAGGTGACCAAAGGTGCAGCCTTTTAAAAACAACATCCATCTGAGATCCACGTAGCTCTTCATAACTTTAACATGTCATACTTACAGGCGCCCACAGCTGAAAGAAAGGTACGAGTTATCCCGACTAGGCGTCTACAATACATAGCTGGCAGATGCGTTGCAATTTCAACAAGCTGCATTTTCTGCACTTTGTTACATAGATGTTACCGTATTTCGACTATTTTGAACATTTGTAATGACTATTTTGAACATTTGTATGGTTCAAAAATACCCTTTAATTTGTTAATTTTGGTCAACCTTAAAAAAAAAACGTTATGTTTGAGAAAGAGCAGAAAAAAAATTATCCACATTCTGGCTCTGTTCAAGGTAGAAATTTCCCCTGAACACAGACCTAGGATCAGATTACCTTACTGCCAATCCTACCCAATCATTTCGAGGATACAATAATAACTGACCCCGGACCAGTGGTTAGGGGAAACACATACCTACTCCACTAGGCATCACAAATCCTGCTATAGAAGTCTTAGTGCCCAGTAAAACAGTTCATGTCTGTTGTGGTTTCACACAGTGGGAGAAAACACACACACACACACACACACACACACAGTGGGAGAAAACACACACACACACAGTGCCCTGGGGAAGCGGTGCTGGTTTGTGTCGCACACACACGCACACACACACTTGAGACAGAAAAACACACAAACCGTGCGGAATGGGTGCCAACACACGGAGGCCTGAGAGCTATGGCTGAACACAGGAGAAGCAGGAAGAAAACCTGGAGAGGAGAGGGAGCTGTGCTGCCCCCTGCAGCACGGAGGACTGCATTAGGACGTCCACGACACCAACCAACCAGCTCTGAAAAAGCATGTCCCAACCACGTCACCCATCACAGCCCCCATTGACTGTACTGCCCTAGCCACGTCACCCATCACAGCCCCCCTTGACTGTACTGCCCCAGCCACGTCACCCATCACAGCCCCCCTTGACTGTACTGCCCCAGCTACGTCACCCATCACAGCCCCCCTTGACTGTACTGCCCCAGCCACGTCACCCATCACAGCCCCCCTTGACTGTACTGCCCCAGCCACGTCACCCATCACAGCCCCCCTTGACTGTACTGCCCCAGCCACGTCACCCATCACAGCCCCCCTTGACTGTACTGCCCCAGCCACGTCACCCATCACAGCCCCCCTTGACTGTACTGCCCCAGCCACGTCACCCATCCACAGCCCCCCTTGACTGTACTGCCCCAGCCACGTCACCCATCACAGCCCCCCTTGACTGTACTGCCCCAGCCACGTCACCCATCACAGCCCCCCTTGACTGTACTGCCCCAGCCACGTCACCCATCACAGCCCCCTTGACTGTACTGCCCCAGCCACGTCACCCATCACAGCCCCCCTTGACTGTACTGCCCCAGCCACGTCACCCATCACAGCCCCCCTTGACTGTACTGCCCCAGCCACGTCACCCATCACAGCCCCCCTTGACTGTACTGCCCCAGCCACGTCACCCATCACAGCCCCCCTTGACTGTACTGCACCAGCCACGTCACCCATCACAGCCCCCCTTGACTGTACTGCCCCAGCCACGTCACCCATCACAGCCCCCCTTGACTGTACTGCCCCAGCCACGTCACCCATCACAGCCCCCCTTGACTGTACTGCCCCAACCACGTCACCCATCACAGCCCCCCCTTGACTGTACTGCCCCAGCCACGTCACCCATCACAGCCCCCCTTGACTGTCCTGCCCCAGCCACGTCACCCATCACAGCCCCCCCTTGACTGTACTGCCCCAGCCACGTCACCCATCACAGCCCCCCTTGACTGTTCTGCCCCAGCCACGTCACCCATCACAGCACCCCCTTGACTGTACTGCCCCAGCCACGTCACCCATCACAGCCCCCCTTGAATGTTCTCTACAGTATCATCCTCTACCAACCCAGTCATGAAAACCCTGGCCGCTAAAACAGCCAAAAAGAGTAGGAACCGAAAGACACCCCCTACGAGGTGCAGACTAATAGATCATTAACTATAACAATCTCTAGACTGCCTGTTTTATTAAACTAACAAAAGGCACGGCGTACCAAAATGGGTTCATTACATCATTAGTACGGCCGAGCCAGGAGCTGATGTAAGGACGTGTCCCTAGCCAATCCGGCACCATGCGGCTGAACGGACACAGTGACTCATCATCATAACGTTTACATTAGCTAAGGCCTGCTGCACCCTTTCTCAACCCAAATACTTTATGCCCTTATCTTTTATTATTTCTCATTGTTGTTGCGTTGTCGAGTGGGGAACCTGAAAGTAGGCATTTCATTGGACGGTTTATAGAACGTGTATCCCGTACATACGACTAATAAAACTTGAATACTCTTAACCCAACCTATATACTCCACCATCCCCACAACCCCTTTAAACCTCCACTCAGCAGGGCTAAAGTCCTGCATTGCTGATGACCTCTGACCCCGCAGCTTTAGGAGAACAGTAGAACTATTGCGGTGTTGTCTGGACCTGGAGAGAAAGCTCCTACACACACACACACACACACCCACCCCTTGGGTAAACAACAGCGCTAACTGATTACAATGTTCTCATTTGAAAACTCTCCCTGGTGAGTTTGAGTATGTCAGCCTGACCCCATAGAAAGACTGAACGACAGAAGAGAGGAGAGTGAAATGGTACTCACGGTCATGACGGACTCGGTGGTCCTGCGGTCCAGGGACTTGGCTCGTCTGAGAGGCGGCAGAGTGGAGGGGAAGTCCAGGCCCTGGCCCAGGTCATGTCTCTGCCCCTGAGACACACAACATAACATCAATACTCCAGCAGCCATTTGGGTCAAACTGGTCAATGTCTGAAGACAGGGGTCACATCAATGTATCATGAGCCTAATTCCGTTCCTATAGAACACCTACCTACCTCATGGATTTCAGAGGAGCAAATCATAACATCATACTATAGCCTTAATGTATGTTATTTGTTTTTATGATCAGAACATCGACTCCTTCAATGTGAACAGTTTAACGTATGCTAAAATGAGATACCATCTCTGCACAGCTGTCATAAGAAGAACAAGTATTTTTCTATCAGAATCACACGTCTTCAAACCAGAACTTGAACCCAACAGCCTTTCACTAAACCATCACACATCTTGTAACATGAACCTGAACCCAACAGCCTTTCACTAAACCATCACACATCTTCTAACCTGAACCCAACAGCCTTTCACTAAACCAGAGAGAATGGAAACCAAGACCACTCGGACATTGAAGAAAACAAGCCCCATCCAGGAGCAGTGTGTGTGTCTCAGAAAGAGCGAGAGAGAGAGAGAGAGAGATGGAGGGAGACAGAGAAAGATAATGGGTGTGTACGTGCAGGTGTTATGATGTTTACTAGACCTGCCCTTTATTTGTGCCAGTCTGAAAATGCCAAACATGCTCGACAATACAGACAGGACAAACATGACAAAACAGACAGGACAAACTTTGTGTACAGGTCTTAAAAGTTGCTTTTAACAGTCTGACTTCTGGGGACATTTTTCTCTGGAATTTGTTTTGGGGGGACAATTGCTCTCTTTTGAGGTCTTTCTGTTGTTGATGTTCCGGACCAGGCCAGAGCAGAGTCACGGTGGGAAAGGGAAGTTAGTATCATCAGGGGAATCGAGCCACAGAATGGAAAATGGAAATGAATACAGCACACGCTCCTGACCTCAAAATAAGGAAAGAGGGAGACTGTGTGTGTGTGTGTATGTGTGTGTGTGTATATGAGAGAAAGAATCTGCTTCATATGCAACAGCTAACAGAATCTAGCTGAGCTATTTCATGTGATGTTGCTTGTAAAACACTGGTCTATAAAACAAGTAGACAATGTCCTGTGTCAGCTAGGGCTATCATATCTGGGCAGACGCTTTTCTCATACTTGATAACCTCTCTATGATCAGCGAACTGAACGGGTTTAAAGGTCATAGTATGACCCTGTAGTTGTACCTCTGTGTGGAAGCGTCTGTGTTCGCTGCGGCCCTGCCTGACTCCAGACCTCCCAGTCTCCTCCACCTCCATCCTCTCCGTGTTCTCCAGCTCCAACGCCTCCAGCTTCTCTATCACCCCAGATCGGCTGGAACACACAGGGAACAAGGTTAAAGGTCAGAGGTGAAGGGTAGAGGTTAGATGCCTTTAGTTGAACTTTCATTACATTTTCCTGTGGAAAAAAAAAAATGGATACAGCGAAAGATAGAATTCCTTCTCAGGTGGAGAGAATAAAATAACCATTGGATAGTTCAGTTTTGCGTGTGTGTGTGGGGGGGGGGGGGGGGGGTCGTTCACCAAGTAAACATCGCATAATCCACATGCATATAAATGAACATTACTTTACACTGCTACATGAAACTGAGAAACCGTTCTAACTTCCACAAACAAACACAGACACACTGACAGCATTCCTCCACACACACATCTTTCTTTTAACCTTCTCTTTAGATAAGGAGGAGAGCTATTCGGCTTACAGGGAGCTTGGAAATATAACATTACTGTTTTTATTCTGCCCTTATTAGGGGAATCCTCTGCGGTAGCTGGCTTCCATAAAAGGCAACAAGCGAAGGAGGGAGAGAGAGAGAGAGAACAGAAGAAAAAGAGAAAGAAAGAGGTATAGACAAGAGTGGCAGCGTGTGTGTGTGTGTGTGTGTGTGTTACATTTACATTTACATCATTTAGCAGACGCTCTTATCCAGAGCGACTTACACATTGGTGCATTCAACTTAGGATAGCCAGTGGGACAACCACATCTTGATCACAGTAAGTACACTTCTTCAAACAAGCAGCTGTGAGCAAAGTCAGTGCAATCAGGGACAACTACGTCTCGATCCCAATAAGTACATTTCTTTAAACAAGTCAGTGCTAGCAGGTGAAATAAGTCAGGTGTTAGTTTAGACAAAAGACAGTGGTAGTAAAGGGGGGAGGTAGAAGGATACTATTATACTATTCCAGGTATTCCTTAAAGAGTTTATAGTTAGTTATAATTCAGTAATAGCGTGCCAGTTGGCTGCTGGGGTCCGTTGGCAGCGTTCCCAACTGAAACCAAACGGACAATCAGTCTACTGCACTGTCCTCCTCTCCTCCTTTCAGGACCAGTTCTGGATGAGGGGACGAGGCAGGTGGGGATTGGATCTGGGAGGAAGAGGATGAAGCACACCCCGGTGTGTGTGTGTGTGTGTGTGTGTGACCTCTTGACCCTTTTCCCAGAACAGAGTCAGGAGTGGATGATGAGCGAATGGAAAGTACAAAGCCTGTTTATTCAGTGTGTTTACGTTGAACCTCAGCCCTGATAAAACCACAGGGAAAGATTATTATCAATAATCAACATAGTTCATTGGAAGCATACTGGATCTGTGGAAGACAGAGATTCACACATCTTACACTGGCTGGATTTCACCAAATACAGCCTTTTCCTCTGGGACTGAGTGTGTGTGTGTTGACGCAGGTGCGTTGGGGGTGTGTGTGCATCACAAGGATGTGTGTGTGTGTGTGTATGTGTGTGAGTTTAGAAGCAGAGACTGTGTATGTTGCTGCGTCATGGGATTCTCTACAGATGTCCTTCTGCTAGTCTAAGATGGCAGTCAGACAGTTCACTAACCTGGTTTACCAGTCTATGTCAGTACATGATTAACAGATAAAGCTTTACCTAGATAAATATATCCCAGGTAACAAACGGTGATTGCAGTCAGAATCACCTCCTCTCTGAACTAAGACAGGACAAAGACTCACCTCCTCTCAGGACTGAACACGGCCTCTCTCTAACGTCTCTCTGAACTAAGACAGGACAAAGACTCACCTCCTCTCAGGACTGAACACGGCCTCTCTCTAACGTCTCTCTGAACTAAGACAGGACAAAGACTCACCTCCTCTCAGGACTGAACACGGCCTCTCGCTAACGTCTCTCTGAACTAAGACAGGACAAAGACTCACCTCCTCTCAGGACTGAACACGGTCTCTCTAACGTCTCTCTGAACTAAGACAGGACAAAGACTCACCTCCTCTCAGGACTGAACACGGCCTCTCGCTAACGTCTCTCTGAACTAAGACAGGACAAAGACTCACCTCCTCTCAGGACTGAACACGGCCTCTCTCGAACGTCTCTCTGAACTAAGACAGGACAGACAGGACACTCACCTCCTCTCAGGACTGAACACGGCCTCTCTCGAACGTCTCTCTGAACTAAGACAGGACAGACAGGACACTCACCTCCTCTCAGGACTGAACACGGCCTCTCGCTAACGTCTCTCTGAACTAAGACAGGACAAAGACTCACCTCCTCTCAGGACTGAACACGGCCTCTCTCGAACGTCTCTCTGAACTAAGACAGGACAGACAGGACACTCACCTCCTCTCAGGACTGAACACGGCCTCTCGCTAACGTCTCTCTGAACTAAGACAGGACAAAGACTCACCTCCTCTCAGGACTGAACACGGCCTCTCTCGAACGTCTCTCTGAACTAAGACAGAACAGACAGGACACTCACCTCCTCTCAGGACTGAACACGGCCTCTCTCTCCTGTCTCTCTGAACTAAGACAGGACAAAGACTCACCTCCTCTCAGGACTGAACACGGCCTCTCGCTAACGTCTCTCTGAACTAAGACAGGACAAAGACTCACCTCCTCTCAGGACTGAACACGGTCTCTCTAACGTCTCTCTGAACTAAGACAGGACAAAGACTCACCTCCTCTCAGGACTGAACACGGCCTCTCGCTAACGTCTCTCTGAACTAAGACAGGACAAAGACTCACCTCCTCTCAGGACTGAACACGGCCTCTCTCGAACGTCTCTCTGAACTAAGACAGGACAGACAGGACACTCACCTCCTCTCAGGACTGAACACGGCCTCTCTCGAACGTCTCTCTGAACTAAGACAGGACAGACAGGACACTCACTCCTCTCAGGACTGAACACGGCTCTCGCTAACGTCTCTCTGAACTAAGACAGGACAAAGACTCACCCTCCTCTCAGGACTGAACACGGCCTCTCTCGAACGTCTCTCTGAACTAAGACAGGACAGACAGGACACTCACCTCCTCTCAGGACTGAACACGGCCTCTCGCTAACGTCTCTCTGAACTAAGACAGGACAAAGACTCACCTCCTCTCAGGACTGAACACGGCCTCTCTCGAACGTCTCTCTGAACTAAGACAGAACAGACAGGACACTCACCTCCTCTCAGGACTGAACACGGCCTCTCTCTCCTGTCTCTCTGAACTAAGACAGGACAAAGACTCACCTCCTCTCAGGACTGAACACGGTCTCTCTAACGTCTCTCTGAACTAAGACAGGACAAAGACTCACCTCCTCTCAGGACTGAACACGGCCTCTCGCTAACGTCTCTCTGAACTAAGACAGGACAAAGACTCACCTCCTCTCAGGACTGAACACGGCCTCTCTCGAACGTCTCTCTGAACTAAGACAGGACAGACAGGACACTCACCTCCTCTCAGGACTGAACACGGCCTCTCTCGAACGTCTCTCTGAACTAAGACAGGACAGACAGGACACTCACCTCCTCTCAGGACTGAACACGGCCTCTCTCTAACGTCTCTTTGAACTAAGACAGAACAGACAGGACACTCACCTCCTCTCAGGACTGAACACGGCCTCTCTCTCCTGTCTCTCTGAACTAAGACAGGACAAAGACTCACCTCCTCTCAGGACTGAACACGGCCTCTCTCCTGTCTCTCTGAACTAAGACAGGACAAAGACTCACCTCCTCTCAGGACTGAACATGGCCTCTCTCTCCTGTCGCTCTGAACTAAGACAGGACAAAGACTCACCTCCTCTCAGGACTGAACACGGCCTCTCTCTAACGTCTCTCTGAACTAAGACAGGACAGACTCACCTCCTCTCAGGACTGAACACGGCCTCTCTCTCCCGTCTCTCCTCACCAGGACTCCTCACTCTGCTCCTCTTCTCTGCCTTCCTGGCCTCGGCCTCCAGCCTCCTGGACCGTGGTGTATCATGGTGCCCTCCAAGGGCCAGCCCTAACCGCCCTGCCGGGTGGCTCTCTGCGCTGGCCACCGTGCTGCCGCTGGCGTCAGAGTCCAGCGAGCTGACCGAGCCACTGATGTGGGAGCCGTTGGACAGCAGGGAGGTGCCGGAGGGGAAGGGGTCGCTGGGGACCGGGGAGAGACAGCGGGGCACCCCGCCCAGGCTGGAGCAGGAGCCTGTGGGGGACAGGAGGTCCTGGTGGGGGAGGGGGACCGAGCCGTGGAGGCCGCTTCGGTCCACCTCATCACCGTTGACTGAGCCGGCGTCTGAGCCCCGGCCCACGGAAGCACAGTCACCTGGAGAAGGCAGGGGTGGAGGGTCAAAGATGGAGACGGACAGACGAGATAATCTCCAAATTGTAATGTTATGTTTTACCACTGTGCTGCTTGCTAACACCATACCAATGCTTTCAGATATATTTGATGTACTATTTATATTAGACTATGGACTAGATGGGGACTATGGGACTAGATGTGTAGTGCACTGTGGTTCCTCCATACCTGTAGAGGGCAGTGGTGAGCCCAGCCGGGCCAAGTCAGCAGCAGGCCACAAGGCCGCCCCTTCAGCCTCTCTGTGGCTCAGCTCCTCCTGCCAGATTATGGAGCTGGAGTCTGGAACGTTCTCCGAGCCCGCCTCAGGGATACCTGACCCCTTCACCGCCACCTTTGCTGGTCCTGGCTCCTGAGAAGTGTTGGGCTCCACCTTGCGCTTCTTCTTCTGGTTCTGCTTATTGGTCCTGGGATATACCACCAGCTGTTCTGTCCAGCTGGGCAGAGAGAGAGGAACAGAATGTTAACCTGGGCATAGAGAACACACACCAGACACACACCCCAGACACAGAGAACACACAACAGACACACACCCCAGACACAGAGAACACACACCCCAGACACAGAGAACACACAACAGACACACACACACCAGACACACACTTACCCATTGATGATTTCTTTGTTCTCCCCGCGTATGAAGTACTCCTGTTCGGGAGTGAATATGCAGAGAGCGTTCTTCTGGCCCGTCTTGGGCTCTGCGTCGATGACGTCAGTACACAGGTTCATATTCACCGTGCCCTGGGGAAGAGTGCTCGACTAGAGGGGGAAGAACAGACGAACAACATTCAGCCACAGGTAACGGCCAAACCTGACATGACACACTGTATACCAGGGGAAATACCAGTAGAACATGACTAGAATCAACACAATGATGAGAGGTGATTGCCCTGTAGCAAACTGGGAAATGGAGTCTACATCTGATGAGTCCCTTTCAACAGCCGCAGTGGAAACTTCAACTTCTAATAGGTCCTAGATCTGTCTGACAGGTGGATAGATCTCAGTCTGTGCCTAAGCAGCTGCTATATAACAGGTGGATAGATTTCTGCATCGCAGTGCTAGCTGTGCCACTAGAGATCCTGGTTCAAATCCAGGCTCTGTCGTAGCCGGCCGCGACCGGGAGACCCATGGGGCGGCGCACAATTGGCCCAGCGTCGTCCAGGGTAGGGGAGGGAATGGCCGGCAGGGATGTAGCTCAGTTGGTAGAGCATGGCGTTTGCAACGCCAGGGTTGTGGGTTCGATTCCCACGGGGTTATGAAAAAATGTATGCACTCACTAACTGTAAGTCGCTCTGGATAAGAGCGTCTGCTAAAATGGTGGTCCTCTGTAGCTCAGGTGGTAGAGCACGGCGCTTGTAACGCCAAGGTAGTGGGTTCGATCCCCGGGACCACCCATACACAAAAATGTATGCACGCATGACTGTAAGTCGCTTTGGATAAAAGCGTCTGCTAAATGGCATATTATTATTATTATTATAAATGACTAAAATGTAATGTAAGTGTAATTTCAGTCTGTGCCTGAGCAGCTGCTATGTAACAGGTGGATAGATCTCACGTCCGTTCTCTGTTAATCTTCCCTCCCTCCTTCCACACAGAGAGAGGACGTGTATGGTGGGCTACAGTAAGTTCACGCCACTGTTATCCAGAGGGTTTCCATGACAAAGGGGGGGGGGATTCGCTTCGGTTCCAGAGAGGGCACAGCGGAGTGAATGGAAGAGGTGACAGCCCTGGGAGGCTGGACTAGAGAAGCGTGTGTGTGTGTGTGTGTGTGTTACTACTAACGCACATGTGTGGGTCTGCATATACAGTACCAGTCAAATGTTTGGACACACCTACTCATTCCAGGGTTTTTCTTTATTTTTTACACTGTAGAATAATAGTGAAGACATCAAAACTATGAAATAACACATATGGAATCATGTAGTAACCCAAAAAGTGTTAAACAAATCAAAATATATTTTATATTTGAGATTCTTCAAAGTACCCACTATTTGCCTTGATGACAGCTTTGCATACTCTTGGCATTCTCTCAACCAGCTTCATGAGGAATGCTTCTCCAACAGTCTTGAGTTCCCACACATGCTGAGCACTTGTTGGCTGCTTTTCCTTCACTCTGCGGTCTAACTGAGTAGGTGTGTCCAAACTTTTGACTAGTACGGTATGTGCATGTGTGCCTTTGGAGGGGCACAATTCATCACGGTTTCTCCCAAACTCGTCACCTCAGAATTCCCAGAAAAACCTAGGATACCCGCTGAACCCCAGCTTGTGTTCTCTCTGGTTCAGTGGGAGTCCTGTCCTGGTGTTATCAGACCCAGACAGTACTGTACTCTGCCTGTCCTGTGTTATCAGACCCAGACAGTACTGTACTCTGCCATGTTCCTGGTGTATCAGACCCAGACAGTACTGTACTCTGCCTGCCATAGGTGTTATCAGACACCAGACAGTACTGTACTCTGCCTGTCCTGTCTTGGTGTTATCAGACCCAGACAGTACTGTACTCTGCCTGTCCTGGTGTTATCAGACCCAGACAGTACTGTACTCTGCCTGTCCTGTCCTGGTGTTATCAGACCCAGACAGTACTGTACTCTGCCTGTCCTGGTGTTATCAGACCCAGACAGTACTGTACTCTGCCTGCCTGGTGTTATCAGACCCAGACAGTACTGTACTCTGCCTGGTCCTGTCCTGGTGTTATCAGACCCAGACAGTACTGTACTCTGCCTGCCCTGTCCTGGTGTTATCAGACCCAGACAGTACTGTACTCTGCCTGTCCTGTCCTGGTGTTATCAGACCCAGACAGTACTGTACTCTGCCTGCCTGTCTTGGTGTTATCAGACCCTGACAGTACTGTACTCTGCCTGTCCTGGTGTTATCAGACCCAGACAGTACTGTACTCTGCCTGCCCTGTCTTGGTGTTATCAGACCCTGACAGTACTGTACTCCTGTCCTGTCCCCTGTCCTTGCGGTGTGTTATCAGACCCTGACAGTACTGTACTCTGCCTGTCCTGTCTTGGTGTTATCAGACCCAGACAGTACTGTACTCTGCCTGTCCTGTCTTGGTGTTATCAGACCCAGACAGTACTGTACTCTGCCTGTCCTGTCCTGGTGTTATCAGACCCAGACAGTACTGTACTCTGCCTGTCCTGGTGTTATCAGACCCAGACAGTACTGTACTCTGCCTGTCCTGGTGTTATCAGACCCAGACAGTACTGTACTCTGCCTGTCCTGGTGTTATCAGACCCAGACAGTACTGTACTCTGCCTGTCCTGTCCTGGTGTTATCAGACCCAGACAGTACTGTACTCTGCCTGTCCTGTCCTGGTGTTATCAGACCCAGACAGTACTGTACTCTGCCTGTCCTGTCCTGGTGTTATCAGACCCAGACAGTACTGTACTCTGCCTGTCCTGTCCTGGTGTTATCAGACCCAGACAGTACTGTACTCTGCCTGTCCTGTCCTGGTGTTATCAGACCCAGACAGTACTGTACTCTGCCTGTCCTGTCCTGGTGTTATCAGACCCAGACAGTACTGTACTCTGCCTGTCCTGGTGTTATCAGACCCAGACAGTACTGTACTCTGCCTGTCCTGTCCTGGTGTTATCAGACCCAGACAGTACTGTACTCTGCCTGTCCTGGTGTTATCAGACCCAGACAGTACTGTACTCTGCCTGTCCTGTCCTGGTGTTATCAGACCCAGACAGTACTGTACTCTGCCTGCCTGGTGTTATCAGACCCAGACAGTACTGTACTCTGCCTGTCCTGTCCTGGTGTTATCAGACCCAGACAGTACTGTACTCTGCCTGTCCTGTCCTGGTGTTATCAGACCCAGACAGTACTGTACTCTGCCTGTCCTGTCCTGGTGTTATCAGACCCAGACAGTACTGTACTCTGCCTGCCTGGTGTTATCAGACCCAGACAGTACTGTACTCTGCCTGTCCTGGTGTTATCAGACCCAGACAGTACTGTACTCTGCCTGCCTGGTGTTATCAGACCCAGACAGTACTGTACTCTGCCTGTCCTGTCCTGGTGTTATCAGACCCAGACAGTACTGTACTCTGCCTGTCCTGTCCTGGTGTTTTCAGACCCAGACAGTACTGTACTCTGCCTGTCCTGGTGTTATCAGACCCAGACAGTACTGTACTCTGCCTGCCTGGCTGTCTGCTGCAGATTTAAAACAGGTGTTGTTTCTCTCCTACTTTTAAGGCCATTCACATGGATCCTGTTTTAATGCAGGCTGCCAGTAAACCCTGTGGGCTTCCAAATATGGCTATTACACTGGGTCACACTTGTTATGGTGCAGAGGGGAGGAGGGGGGTAGGGCTGGGAGAGGGTTCTCTGTCTCATAAAAGATGCACCTCTATCTTTGTGAAGGAGAAAGCTTGAAGGTATTACATGGACTTGGTCACGCTTTTCCCTTGTTCCCCCCAAATGGTGGATAGGATTGAGAGAAGATAAGATGATTCTAGATCTGTGCCAGAGCAAGTCCAGTCCACACGGACAGAGGGGGCCAGTCCAAATGGAGAGAGAGGTGTGTTCTTTATGTAATGTTGTCTGATCTGATACAAGTGTCAACACAAAGAATCCTCCATCTGCCAACAACACTGCCATTGATCCTCTCTGGCTAAATTCCAAATTGCACCCTATTCCCTATATTAGTGCACTACTTTTGACCAGAGCACTATGGACCCTGGTCGAAAAGCAGTGCACTATATAGGGAACAGGGTGCCACTTGAGATGCAGTCCATATGCTGTAGTGGGTTTGATTTCTCCAGATCCAATTCCATAGCCTCCTACTGTGCTACCCCACCGAAGACATTCTTTTAAAAAAAAGTATACTCGGTCATAACAGACTTTATATGGGCAAATAAAACTCTGAGAATAAAAAGGAAAGTTTTACATCTTCCTAAATCTGAGTGTGGTTTTAAACCTTCCAGACTTGGAATTGTATCAACTTGCCACCCAAGGCTTTTACTTGCAACATACTGTATAGTTAAATGCACTAAAGATGCGCACGCTCAACCCCAGAATCTTTTTTACATGTCTATTTTCAAAGGATAAAGCTATGAACATTAACAACTTCATAGTTAAGAACACTATAACAATATGGAAGAAAACGTAACGTATTCTACAAGAACCAATATCACTTCCTAAAAACACAACCTTATGGAACAATCCTTGGATAGCTTTTCAGAATTCATCGATAAATTGGCCCACATGGAAAACTAAAGGTATAGACATTGTAAATTACTTGGTAATAGGAAATACATGCATTTCCATGACAGAATTAAAAAGTAATTTTGGACTGAACAAAAATATAAACGCAACACGAAACAATTTCAACGATTTTACTGAGTTACAGTTCATATAAGGAAATCAGTCATTTGAAATAAATTCATTAGGCCATAATCTCGGGATTTCACATGACAGGGAATACAGATATGCATCTTTTGGTCACAGATACCTAAAAAAATACAAAGTAGGGGCGTGGATCAGAAAACCAGTCAGTATCTGGTGTGACCACCATTTGCCTCATGCAGCGTGACATCTCCTTTGCATAGAGTTGATCAGGTTGTTGATTGTGGCCTGTGGAATGTTGTCCCACTCCTCCTCAATGGCTGTGCGACGTTGCTGGATATTGGCGGGAACTGGAACACGCTGTCGTACACATCGATCCAGAGCATCCCAAACATGCTCAATGGGTGACATGTCTGATTAGTATGCAGGCCATGGAAGAACTGGGACATTTTCAGCTTCCAGGAACTGTG